GCAGCATTTCTCGTTTCTGGCAGCAGCAGCAGCAGCAGCAGCAGCAGCAGCAGCAGCAGCAGCAGCATCCCGGATGTCTTGGTTTGTTAGACAACATACTTTGTGTATAAAATTGTTGTGCTTGTCACAGCCAGGAAGTTAAGGAGCAACCCCACTTACCTTGATATGTTTGGTTTTTCTGCTGCTCGTCCTCCCTTTTCAGTGGCCCAGTGCGTGTGTGTCTCGCACAGCCCAGCCTGCGACCGGCAGGGAGGAAGCAAATTGGGCGTTGCAGGGACAAAGGAGAGGAACCGGCTCGGCTCGCCCGCTCAGAGGGAGACTAACTCGGGCGGGAGGGACCAGCAGCAGGAGGGGCTGGACCCGGTTCCCCGTTCGGGGACGGTGCTGGAGCAGCGGCACAAACCCTCTGGGTGCGGCTTCCAAACTTCCTCTGGCAAAAAGCGCTTCTCAGAAGTTCTTGAATTTCTGGTGGGGTGAAGCCTGGCAGGTTTTAGCCATCTCTTTTATTCTGCGAAGAGAGATTGTTTGTCATTCTAGTTTGGCTTTTTAGAGAAGTGGGTGGGCTAGAGAGAGGTTAAATTGCATGGCTAACATTGCAGGAATGTCAAAACATGTTTTGATAGCCGAGGCAAACCTTACTGTGCAGGGGACGGTTGTGCAATAGCTATGTAAGGACAGGGTGCTTCCGAGGGTGACTCTGCGTGCATCCGCTCGCTCAGATGTCCTTAGCCGGAAAGGCATGATTTTGATTGCAGGTTTTTCTCAGCCGCCAAACAGACCTCAAAGAGAAGATTGTGAGGCTGGACAAGGCACTTTATGTTCCTTGGGGCGGGGCAGGGGGGGCGCAAGCAGAAGGGCAGCGGCGGGGGTATAAATTAAATAAGTGGTGCATTCATTCTGCTGGGCACAATAAAACCCAGCCCCCAAGTTAGCCCAGATGAACTCTGTCGCTCCAATAAACGCATCCCTGGTCTCCTGACCATGCACGTTAGTGGGGAAAGGAGAAAGCCGTGACAGGTTAACAGGGTTTTTTTTTAAAGTGTTTTGTTGTTTCCCCCCCACTAGCCTGCAGGTCCAGAATTTCCTGGCAATCTCCCATCCAAGTAGCAACCGAGTCCAGCCCTGCTTAGTTTAGGGGAGATCAACCAGGTTTAGCGAGGCAGCTGCCGCCTGCCGTGGACGTCTGTCCCTAGAAGACTGCAATGCCTTGGGATGAGTTTAAGCCTTTGCAGGCTCGGTGAAGCCGTGAGGGGTAGACTGCTGCTAGAGTTCCGGGCATTCAGATTCTGCTTTTGGAAAAGTGCCCTGCAAGACCCGTGGAAAAGCCGTGATCTTTAGGCAGTGGATGAGGCGGGTGGGTTGCCCATGCGCAGCGCAGCAGACTTTTCTTCCTGGTTTTCAGAGGCCGACAGCTCGTGATACTCCCGTCCACCCGCTGTAACTGATGTTGTTTCGTTTTTCCACTGGCTACGTTCTCATTAAGCTTTGCTAATGCTGACCAGCAACCTCCGAACGCAACTTTGTTTGCGTTCGCTTCGTTTTCCGGTGCTCCCCTTGGAGGAAGTGAACCGGAAATAAGCTGCCGTAGCAAGAACTCTCTGCGGACTTTGGAACCTACTTGGTGACGTATTAATGGGGGGAGGAAAAACACGCACGCACGCACACACACACACATACATTCGCATATATACTGGAGTGCTAATGTCATGGAGGAGTGGAAAGTATCAGCCGCAAAGTCCAGAGTTCAGGTCGCATCCCTTCCATAAATCTTCAGGGCAACTTTATGGACCAAGGAGACGCTGGACTACATGCCTTTAAGGCATTTCTTTGGTTTTAGATTAGCAGAGATAAGGGAGGGACCAGGGTTATGTCAACTCATCTTTCCCCTTGGGGTGAGAGCAGTGTGACTCCAAGAGTTCCCAGCCAGTGGACAGGGCGGTTGGGAATTAGGGGAGTTGGAGATGAATATATCTAAATGAATGCCGGGCTGGGGAAGGCTGGGTTAACTTTTCCTGTTGGTGCCACCAGCAGCCTCCTTCCTGGGACAAAGAGCATCCCATTTTCATTGTAAGGCAGGAGAATTAGCTCTCCTTGACACACACTTCCTCTACACAGCTGCAGTTAAAACCAAGCAACCAACTCTATACTAGCACAAGGAGCTGACAGCACCCAGTCAACACTAGTTGAACTTGAAAAAGCTAACCCTGGTCAGATATGGTGAATATCTGGATGGGAGAAACCAGGAAATCTCAGGGTGGGAAGACAAAAACAAAACCCCAAACACTTTCTTCTCTATTGTTGGCAAGAAAATCACATAGTCACCAGGAACTGATGACTAAGGGAAGCTTTAACTTTTGATTTTGAAGTATTGTGCTAAATGACCATAGTAGTAAGTGTCCAAGTCTTGGTGAATGTTGACACACGAATGCGGCTAATCTCAATGAATGAACAGGGGCAGTAAAATTCACATTTTTCTAGAGAGCGGGTGAACTTCTAGACATTCTCAAAACGTGTTTGACACAGTCATATATAAATGTTGCTAGGATCAAATTGTGGACATTCACTTTATCATAACCCAGAGAACCGAATACCCATACAGTCTCCATCCTTCAACAAGGTTCTTCCAACTGGCCTCTGATAATGTTAAATTCTCAAATTGTATTTTGTCCTCCTCCTCATTTCTCATGGACGTGCAATCTCTTATCTGAAATTCTCTACTAAACTGTCAGGTTGGAAGATGAATGTAACCCATGGTTTTATCAGGAAGGAAGCTGAGCTGTACTTCTTCTTAACACTTAATTATGAAGCAGGGCAGAAAGACAAAAGCCTTTGAGATGGTTGCCATGAGAAACCGAGGCAGAGTTGTGGCCACACTGCTGCCCCCGCCTTTTCTCTTCAGCCTGATCCTCCTCCCCATCCCGCTGCCTTAATTGACTGACCTGGCCATGCCTGGTCGAGCTGAGCTTTGTGTTCTGCTCTTTTTCATCACTGCCAGGCTAAGCCTACAAGAAAGCATTAGCTACTACTAGCTAGTAAATCCGGGTCCCAGGCGAACAAGAAGCCATTTCTCTCATAGATCTCCTCCACCTAAAGGAAGGAGTCACATGAAAAAGGCATCGGCAACGCTGGATTGATCTGGGATGGCATACAGTTGTCCAAGGCAGGAACTGCCTGCCAGGTTTTGCTGCTACAATCACACAGTCAGAAGCTGAATGGTCTTGGCTTTCAGTGGTGATTCCAAGTCTAATCATTCTCAGAAATGCTTTTGATAAAAGGTGCCTGGTGGAATTCAGATTCTCAGCTCCCACCCTAATGCTCAGAAGGAGAGGAGAAGAAAAACAAGAGGGGATAACTTTCCAGAAACTGCAGACTGACTTTTTTGCTGCTGTGGAGCTACATAGGGTCTGAGCATGCTCTTGGCCATGTGCTGGAATGATGGTAAAAAAAAAACCAGTCCTACGCCTGGAAAACTAGCATCTCTGCAGAAAGCTTAGCTAGAACCTCTCATGCTTGTTTCCAAAGTAGAAGGAATTATTTTGTGCTGAGGAACATTCAGCCATCCCAGTCCCCATCTATAATAGTCAGAAGCGATGGACCAAGGAAAAGCTGATGTTGTAGACTCCAGCTGACACCATCCCTTGCCATTGGTCAGGGTGGCATCTGAAGACTAGAACATTTGGAGGACACCCAGTTGTCTCTCTCACAACTATAAGCATGAGAAACCATGTGCTGAGGTTCCTCTAATCATCTAAAAAACACATCACAATTGCCCTTGGAAGTAGCAATGGTAAGATATTAGCCATCACCCATGGAAGGCTGGAGCCCTGAACAGGCAAAAGGTTAATCAAAACATTAAAAGGAGAAAATTGAAACTTCTGAAAGCTTCCAAAGTCCTTCCTCTCTCATCTTCTCTGCTTGTCTCTGCTGGAAGGTTCAGCTCTCTCTTCATCTCCTGCAAACTAGTTTGGTCTAGCTTTTAATCCATCGTGATGCCAGACAAAATTAGAATTAGAATTAGAACACTTTATTGGCCAAGTATGAAACATACAAGGAATTTGTCTTCCTTGCAGAAAAAACTCTCGATGTTTGCATAGCATCAGAAAATAAGGAGTATAAAAAGTAATAATATTATATACTAAAACTATGCAATCAGAAGAGGAGAATTGGAAGAATAATAATACTACAGCTATTGACTAACATATATTCATTTTTAAGAGGAGAAGCTATTGTCTAACATATATTCACATGCAACAGAGCATTATCAGTCACGTCGTGGCAATCATATCTCATCATGCCTTATCCTTTCAATTAGCTTTTCCCTCCCCCTGTTGCAACAGGTGCTTCAGATTTGGAGAGCCCTCCAGTCTGTTTTCTTTCAAAGGAGTGCCACTGTCTGAAGCATCTGTTCAATTATTCCTCTGGATATTGGACAGTCCAACAGAAGAGGGCCCTTCCTGCCAGTTGAATGCAGCAGTCCTCACCTTGGGGAAGAAGGGTTTGGAGCATGGAGCTTCTCTTGGCTTTTTCCTGGGGTGGAATTAATGCAAGGACAAAAGGTTACATCAGGACCACATGCAGTAGTGCCTGTATCTCTGTTACGATCTTCCCTTTGTTCATGCAGGCTTATGTTGGGCTTGCTGGTGCCTCCTTCTTATTTGCAAGTGGAAGCTCTTTTTCAAGGTGGAGGCAGCAAACGTTCCCTGTCTAGACTGCAATCCCTGATGCTTCTGAGTCAGATAAAGTCTGCATAATGTGTGATGCATTTATCATTACTACATATGCTTTCTTGTTTTAACCCTAGAAGCTGCAATAGAAAAGCGATAAAGAAAATAGATCCAGTATTGTCACGGACATCCTGCCATGAAAGACAGATTTGTGTGTTACAATTTGGGTAACCACCTAGTGACCATTTGGATCCATGCATCTTGCAGCTACCGGAGAATTTCCCTCTTTTCTTCACTGAATTACTGACTCTCCAATTAGTTTGTATTTTTCCAAACTTGTTTTAGGGGTGAAGACATTCCTGAACTGTGGCATACCACTAGCTATGTTGACCAAGATGTGAGGAGTTGAAGTTCATCCTCATTTGACCTGACACTGGTTAATCATCCCTGCTTAGTCCAATACTTGACCTTCCTATGTCCTCATTTGTTCTTGTTGCACAAGGTTTCCTGTGTACTTCACCACCTGTGACCTATCTGTGATCTTTGGACAAAATTCTCTGTTGTTCTGCAGATTTTCAACCCATCAGGAGTACCGACCATGTCTTGATTATATATCCTGAACTGGTTTCTATCCAACAAAGGGCAAAATGTGGTAATAAGCCAAAATGGCTGTCTGGAAGAGCCCAGCAAGAAGGGAGAAAATGTTCCCACAAAATATAAATGTGTTGTTCTCTGGCATGCCCCTACTGAAGGTCAAGAAAACCACTATTGGTATTTGTGTCTCTTTAGGACACTGCTGAGCCTTCAGACATCTGATTATATCAGTAGCTGAGGAGTTGAAAAAAATTTAATGAAGCTTGCAAATCTTACTATAAGGAAGCAAAATTGGATCACGAAGCTACAGGATGGAGAAGTATTTTCTAATCTGCAAAACACAATGATGGACCTAGAATGGGGAGAAAAAGAAGGGAAATCAAAGAGAGTTTGTTTACCTTGGCAGTATGAAAGCTGATGTCCAAGGTTTTAGCCGGATGTATAAACAATTCTAAAACTTTCTAAGACACGTTTGGAAAGATGAAATTCCTGGATATGAATGTAGAATTTATCAAAACTGAACATATCAAAGCT